GGCTGCAGCCACAGCTGGAGGCGGCCTCTTCACCCCGGGAAGTCCGGCCCCGTCTGCTTCCGGGGAAGTGTTGCTCCACTCCCCTGCCCTGCCTGTCTGTGCCCGTCTCCTCCTGCTCTCAGCCTGCTCTCCCCCAGCTCCTGCTGCTGGTGCCAGGCCAGGAGACCATGCCCTTCTGGCTCTGGTCTGTGCCAGGTCAAGCTTGCAGCTCCCAGGGGTGCCTGGGCCCCAGCTGCACTGCGCATGCTGGTGGGGGTAGAAGCTCACCGCCCGGGCTGTCGGTGCATCTCGGCGAGCCTGGATGGGGGGTACTGCCCTGACCCGGCCGTGGAGCAGCCAGCCCCTGATGCTCCCACCGAGGTGCCCAGAGCTGAGTTGGGCTCATCCTAGAGACCAGGCTCCCTGCAGAGCTGGGGTCCAGCCAGCAGCGCTGGGGCTGGGGGGATGCTGGAGCCTGTCCCTGCCCCGGGTCTGGTGCATCATCGGCCCCTGGTGTCTGCAGAGCAGACGGGGCTGAAGGAAGGAGAGGGGAGCAGCCAGGCCAGGCGCTGCCTTTGACTCATGCCCAGACCCCGACAGACTGGCAGTGGGCTGCTGTCTCCTGGGGGAGCAGGAGGGAGCCAGCCTGGGCTGTGCGAGGGACAGGCCATGCAGATCCTTCTGGTGCAAACAGCCTGTTCTCTGCGGCCGGGGCTCTGAGGCTGTCCCGCTCTGTGCCAGCTCCCCAGGGAGGGTGTTCAGTCCATGTGGGCTTTGCCAGCCCAGGCTTTGTCCTGCTGCTTTTGTGTTCGCCCAGGGGAGGCGGGCACAGGCACAAAGGCAGTACCTGGGTGACAAGCTTTGCCATCGCTCTGGGCTCAGACAATGCCCCAGCTGGTGTCAGTGGGAGCTGTGCCCGGGCATGGGCCGTGGGAGCTTTGCCTGGCACGGGGCTCCACGCTTCATGCTCCATCCCCCCTGGCTGCAGAGCAGAGACGAGGGTTTGCAGGGCCCGGCACCGGGTCCCCTTCCTCTGCCCCCAGCCTCATGCTTCAGAGCAGAGCTCCCTATGCCTGGGTGAGCCCCGGGGTGGCACCGTCTGTGTGCACCGCACCCTGCTCGTGCTCCTGGCACCCGGGCACGGGAAGGAGCCAAGCTGCCCCAGCATGGTGCATGGCATGGGAAGCGTGTGCGCCCCCGTGTGACCTCTGCGTGTGCAAGTGTGTAACAAGCAGGCCCAGCCTTTCCTGGAAGAGCAGGCTGGGGAAGGGGCCGCCGTGCCACTGTGGAGAGACCTCTGTTCCTGCCCACCCCGGCTCCACCCTGCATGTCACCTGGCTGGCAAGCAGCCCGGGTACTGCTGTGCCAGGCATGGAAATGCATCTCCCAGCCGTGCCCTGGCGAGCACGAGCAGTGGGCATGGCCGTGGCCTCTCCATGCCAACACACCTGGCACAGAAGAGGGTGGCTGGACGGGCTGGGATGCAGACTCTGGAGCCCCACAGGCCTTGAAGCCGGTTTGACACCTGTTCCCTGCGCCGTTGCATTTGGCCCCAGACGCCCGCCCCTCGGTCCCCTGCTCCTCTCCCGTCCTGTCCTTGTAAACCCGGGGTGCTGAGATGCCCCCTCCAGCTGCCCCCCATCCTGCTGCCTGCCAGAGGTATGCACATTGCATCAGAAGGGGCTACGCAAGGAGCAGCTGGAGCGCACCAGCGTGGTCGGCCAGGCCGTGCCCTGCATGCCCCCCACATCCTGCTGCACCAAGGAGGAGAGGGGGCAGCACCTGGCCCTGCAATGGGGGAGGAAGCTGAAGGGCAGACAGGCCAGCCCAGACTCATGCAGACAGCTCTGCTGAGACCCCCCACCACTGCCTTGCTGCTGGCTCTTGCAGGGGCTCCCCGGCAGCCTTAGCAGCATTTGGGGCTGCAGCGCGGGGCTGAGACAGGAGAAGGCTGGGGCTGAGCTCTCCTGGGGAGCAGCCCCCGCTCTCTACCCTGGGAGCCGGCTGCAGCAAGGCCTGCGAGCGTGTTCCTCCTTGCAGCAGGAAGGCCCCTTTCCCCACGCCGGGATCTGGCTGCCTACCACACTCCCCCGCCCCGGCACCCACCAACTTCCAGCCTCCACTTCCTAGTGCAGCCCTAGGGCCAGCCCCTTTCCCACGGCCCTGGGGTCAGACGCTCGCCCTGGGCTCCATGCAGCCACAGCCACCCCTCCCGGGGCCAAGCCCAGCTCCCCGCACCCACCAAGGCTGCCAGTGGGCAGGGGGCTGCACTCTTAGGCCTGGCATGGTGGGGACACTGGGACCCTTGCAGGTGCCAGGCTGCTGACCTGCCTGGGTGTGCTGGTGTCTGCACCAGGGCATGCATCCCTGCGGGGCAATGGCCTGACCTGCTCTCGGACAGGCTGGAGCAAGGCAGAGCTGCAGCCAGTCACTGGGGGCGTGCAGGGCATGCAGCCCCTCTCCTCCGGCTGCCCCCCATCCCTGGGACGGCAGGAGTGCTGGATGCATTGTGCAATCGCCTGCAGCGTTGCAACACATGGCCTCCCCGGCGGTTATGCAATGCCCTGGCTACCTGCCTGGCCCAGCCTGCCGAGGGGCTCGTGGAACAGGATCCTTCTGGCACCAGGAAGCGGGGCCTGGCATGGCGCCATGTGCCACACATGTACAACTACAGGGAGGGGGTAGGCGTGGAGAGGGCGCAGACATGCGACCTGCTGGGGGGTGGGGGGGCTGCCCCCCTGCACCCCGGCTCTGGCCCCCAAGCTCACCCCAGGGGTGGATCCAGGCTCTGGGATGCTGCCCCTGCCCACATTGCAGGGGGGGGCAGCAGGGGAAGTTTCCCAGAGCAACGAGCCCCACGGGCCCGTTCCCCGCAAGCATCACTGCAGGTGCCGGGTCCCCAGTGCATGGGGGGCGGCACGCCTGGTCCCCGGCCCTGCCCATGGCACCCGCGCAGGGCTGCGTGAGATGGGGCTGGGGCAAGAGGCACAAGCCTCTCCTGCCCCTGGGTGTGTTCATGAGCAGCATCAACGGGGCACAGGGGGAAGGGGGCTCCCGGAGGCATGAAGCCAAGGCCAAGGGAGCTCTGCTGCGGGCAGCGGAGATGGGGTGCAGCTGGGCAGAGGGCAGCGCTGTCCTGCGGTGCCTCGAGGGGGCTGGGCCGGGCCTGCAGCTGCGGTGGGCGCCACGGGGAGGAGCTGGGACGCCCGGGTCCTGGAGCCCTGAGCGGGCAGCTCCACCACGCGGTGACCGGCCGGAAGCAGCTGCTCTGCCGCCCTGCTCTGTGCAGGCAGAGGCAGGGGTTCCTTGCAAGGGGGCTACCCCCCTGCGGGCCTGGGGCAGGGGCAGAAGGGGAGAGACGCACTCCCTGCTGGGCCTCGATGCATCGGGCAATGCCAGCCCCGGGCTCCCGCAGGCAGCTGCACAGCTCCCTCCACCCAGGGAAGCTCCACGGGAGCAGGGAGATGCTGCTGCCCCCCGGCAGGGATGTGGGGCCCCAGACGAGCAAGCCTGGCCCTGCTCGGCCCCTTCCCCACCGGTGGGCATATGCTGGGATCAGGGCCAAGCAGCAGGGCGCAGGGGTGGGGAGCAGGACCCAGGAGGAGCAGCAGAGCCAGCAGTTTCTCAGGAACTTTATTGAGGCAGGAGGCTGCTGGTCCATGTGGGGGGAGCAGGGAAGGCGGGCACGGCCGGCTGAGCACCTGGGGCAGGGCACTGGGACCCTCTGATTCGGATCCACCTCTCTCCTGGCTGGACCGCGCCTGCAGGAGCTCTCACGCCTCTCCGCATCAGGGGGTCGAGGCCACCTCCCCTCCCGGCCCCCCTGCCCTTGCAGCCCCCGGGCACAGGTTGCTCCAGTCTGGTGGCCCGTGGGATGCCGAGCTCTTGGGGTCATGTCTCCCGCCTGGGCTGGATGCCGTGCACCCAGGAGGCTCCAAAGGGTGAGGCCGGGGAGGCCAGGAGAGCGACGGGCTGCTTCGGGGGGCTGTCCCGCAGGATGGGCGACAGCTGCTGCTCCTCCTCCTCCTCCTCCCGGCGCCAGCCGCCTTGCAGCACCCGGCCCAGCGTGCATGCCAGGAGGCCCGCGGCTGCGAGGACCCCGGCCGTGGTGCAGAGCATGATGCCGGCCAGCCTGCAGGTGCCCAGGGCCCGGTTGTACTCCATCGCCTGCAGGTCCAGCACCAGGAACTCCTCCTCCCCGATGCCCTCCAGCTTCGGGGGCACGAGGTAGCCGGTGGCCAGCGCCGCAGCCCCCAGCAGCAAGAGCAGGGCCCCCGCAGAGAGACTCACCTGGGGGCAGGCAGAGGCAGGGGTTGGCAGCCCAGCAAGGCCTCACTTTCCCTCCTGCCCTTGGTCTCCTAGGCAGGGCCTGTGTCCCGCTGAGCCAGGCAGCTCGGTGCTTGCAGCATCCTAACCGATGCCATCCTGGGGGGAGACCCTTGCCGGACACCTGGGTTTTCTCCCCAGTTGCGGGCTGCACCCTGCTCTCAAACACTTCCAGGGACGGAGACTCCCCGTCTCAAGGTCCGGGTGTTGCCAGGGGGTTGGGCCGGGGCTCATTGCTGACTTACCAGAGAGGGTACCTTGGACCCCGGGGCCGTGCGCAGGAGCAGGGGCCGGGGTGCTGCAGTGCTACTCTCACCTTCCAGACGATGGAGGGCCAAGCAGGGCGGGCGCGGGAGGCCAGCAGCACGTCCGCATCGTTGTCAGGGCTGGCACCGGTGCAGTCCTCGTAGAAGAGGTGCAGGTAGGAGCGGACGCCGTACCACTTACCGCGCTCCACGCTGGGGCCCCGGCTGCAGCTGCACGGCTGGGCACAGGCCAGCATCGGGCCTGGGGGGGCAGCGGAGCCGGGGGGTGGGTCACCAGGCTTTGGGAGGAGAGAGCCACGGCTCCTGGGCTCTCTCCTTGGCGGTGCCCGTCAGCAGGCCCCTGCATGACTCGGTTTGCCCTTAGTGGGGAGGCTCCCTGCTGCCAGCCCAGGCAGCGTGGCGCTGTGTCAGGCATGCTTAGCATGCCCTGGGTGCCCGGGCTCCCACCCCCAAGAGAGGGGGATAAAGGCAAGATCCACTCTGGCCAGGCCCCAGGAGCTGAGCTCAGTGACAGGTAGGATGAGACCCCCATCCCCATCCCTGGGCACTCATCCCGTGAGCAGCGGTGCTGCTGGGGGGTCTCCAGGCTGGACCCCCCTTGCAAGCCCCATCCTGTAGGCCGCCGCTCCGCGCCAATCCCCGCGTCCGCCTGCCTCCAGGATGATGAGCGCAGCCCGGGGCTGATTGGGCATTGCCATGGGAACCGCCTGGGGAGGCCTGAGTCACAGCTGGGGCTGGGAGGAGGGGCGGCAGGAGTGGGGATGGGGGGGGCAGCCACTTCCCGCCGGCCCAGCGAGGCTGGAGGGACCCCTGGATGCCCAGCCTGAGGCCGCCTGCGGCGGGAACACTGCCCTCCTCGCACCCCAGCCCCGGCCCTTGTCCAGAGCAGAGGGCTCCTGCGGGGACCAGGCCTGCAGCCCCGAGACAACTGCACGCCAGGCTGGACGGAGGAGGGTCCATGCCTTGGCACCAGGGTCCATGATGGGCCCTGCTCATGGCAGGAAGGCCCAGCCCAGCTGCAGCCATCTGCTCTCCTGGAAGGGGCATCCAGACCAGAGGCTTCGTAATGCAGGGCTGGTGGGGGCATCAGGCACCGAGATCTCCCCCCTCTCCTGGGCCGCCTGCAACATTGCGCTTCCTTTGCCCTCTGCCCGGCTGCACTCACCTCCGGCTGGGCAGGGCTGGTCCTAGCGCATCCTGTCCCTCGTCGGACCCGTCTGCAGGACGATGCCCCGGGCAACCAGCGGTGCGGGGTGCGAGCCTCTCCCAAAGGCGTCCAGCGCTTCCCCCCCTGCAGCCGGTGTGCGCAGACAGGTGCAAGGGCCAGACAGCTCTAGGGCTGGACCTGCCTGCCCGCTCCCCAGCTGGCGTGGAAGGGGGCAGAGGCTGGGGTGGCGGGGGGTTTCCCCTTGCAGCGCCAGCTGCCCAGCTGCTGGTGTTTGGCAGGCGGCAGAGGCTCCGCTGGCTGGAGAGGCGGGGTCTGCTCAGCCCCGGCGCTGAGCTGTGTCTGAGTCACCGGCGGAGAGGCAGCGTGGCGTTGCGAGGCAGGCGGTGGGGGCACGTGGGAGCCCCTGGCCTTCCCGCTCACCAGCAGTGCAGCTGCCCCCGGGCCGGGCCGGGCCCTGCACGCGGCACCCAGCCCTGGCTGCACGGGAGGGGGCCCTTGCCCCTGCCTGTGGCATGATGGAGGGGCTCTCTCGTGGTCGAGCGTGGGCCAGAGGGACACTGGGTTTGCATCCTTTGCCCGATGCAGGACCTGGGGGTGCTGTGCCAGGACTGGGACCTGCTGCCTGGGGGCACTGCTCTGCTTCTTCCCAGGGGGGTTGGGGCATGGGGAGAGCTGGCGGAGAGGCCAGGGATGCCCCTCGCACCGGCCTTGCCCCCTGCAGGCAGGGTATCCTTGGCTAGGAGATGCTGCTGTCGCCGTGGCAACAGCCGCTGGGAGCAGAGGGATGTTGCCAATGCCTCTGGGTGTCGGGCACCTTGGAGACGGGCACTGGGTTCGGTTCCTCCGCTGTTGCCGTGGCGCTGGGACTCGTTTCACCATGCGGATGAGGCTGGGGCTGCCCATGTGTCCTCCCCCCCACTAGTGTCAGTGCTAATGCCGGGGGCAGACGGGCCTGGCTGCCCCCCCCTCCGCTAATCCCCAGGGATTTCGGGCCCTGCTAAGGGGATTGCCAGGCCTCCGGCTTTGCTGAGCTCCTCCATCCTGCCCGGCTCCTGCACCGAGGCTCATAGGCCGGCACCGCCACCTTGTTGCCGTGGCGACACGGTCGGCTCGGTGATGAAGCTGATGCAAACACGGTGGTGATGAAGCCGATGCTCGCAAGGTGGGGCTGGAGTGGAAGGGCGAGGCTGCCAGGATCGGGGGGCCTTGCCCGACCTGGCTACATGGGACCTGTCTGGGCCGGCTTCGGAGCAGGGTGACGGTGCCCCCCTCGCCCACGGCCTGGCACTTCCAGACGGGGAAAACAGAGGCACAAAGGGGGCCCCATCTCCCCGCAGCTGCACGGGCCAAGCCGGGGTGTGGGGCTCACCCAGCGCCTGGGCCTGTACAACCCAGAAGCCCCCTGCCCCCAGGGCTGCCCTGGCAGAGAGTGGCAAGGGAAAGGCAGAGCCCAGCAGGAGATGCTGCGACCTGGGGTGAGAGGCTACATCCATGGGACTGTGCCACTGCCATCCACAAAGCCGGCGTGTCGGCCACGGGCTCCCGCTGGGGACTGGGGCAGGCGGGTGCCAAAGCCAGGCTGAGCGCTGCCGGCCCTGGCACTGCAGCTGGCTCCAGCCCCGGTATAGCTGGCAGCTCAGGAGCTAGCGCTGGAGAGAGCTCGCAGCACGGCCTGGTGTCTGCCTGCCAGGGCTGGGGGGCCGGGGAGTGCGTCGGCTGCTGCTTGGGATGCAGGGTCGGCTGGGCAGGGGTGGCAGGGCAAGGTCTGGAGGGCGCGAGTTGCAGCTCCGATGCTGAAGGAAAAAGGTTCGGGGGGGACCTGGGCACGGGAAGCCAGGGGAGCAGATTCATGCAGTCGCCAGTGCTCGCTCTGGCTTCCTTCCGGGCCAGGCAGTGCTGCAAAGAGCCACTGACAGCGGAGGGCACCTCCCCTGTGCACACGCACACAGCACCTGCACACGCATGTACACAAGTGTGCTTGCACGCACAGGCTACCTGCCTATGCATGCACACACAGAAAACCTGCATGCGCATGCACACAGAGCACCTGCCCACATGTGTGCACACAGCACCTGCTGGAGGGACACTGGCCACAGCTTCAGGCCTGGCTAGGCCTGCCTGCAGCCACCCCCCCAGAAGCAGCTGCATTTCTAGTAGCAGGGGACAGCAGCGTGTGCCAGGGTGTGCAACGCAGCCTCTCCTGCACCTGTAAAGGTGGGGAGAGCGGAGCACGTAGTGCTGGTCAACCTGCTGACAGAGCCCGGGCTGGGGCTGGGGGCACGGCCCATCCCCTCGTTCTGGGCTGCCAGGCCCAAGCCAAGCTGCATGTGCAGGGGAGGTTTTAAGCATCCCCAGAGGCACTGGATGTTGGCTGCAGCCCAGGCTGGGGATGGCAACTGGTTTAGCACCAACCTCAGAGGTCCTGGCTAGAGGGTCTTGCGCCTGCGCTCAGACTCAGAGCGACGCTGCCTTGGGGGCAGGAAGGGATTTTTCCCCCCAGTCAGGCTGGTAGGGACTGCGGGGGGTTCCCCTCTGCCTGGGATCCCTGGAGCGTGTATTAGCAACCTTTGCAGCAGCCGGACGCTGGTCCCCGGCTTCACCGGTGGCAGGTTGGGGTGTGAGGTCTGTGTTGTGTCGGGGCGCGGTGATGGGTTTGTCTGGGCGGGTTTGGACAGGGCTGATCCTGCATCAGGCAGGGCTTGGGCGGGATGTGACCTCTGCAGCTCCTGCCAGCCCCACTCTGGGATCTCTATGCACCCTGTTGTGCAGGGGGGCAGGGGGAGCCCGGTCCTCGGGAGCAGCTCTGCCGTGCACGCGGCTACCCTGATGTGCAAACACCCTGAGCGGGGGCTGTCTCAGCCCGGGGGCTCCCGTGCAAAGGCTTCGAGGAGACCGGGGGTCCCGGCGGCGGTGGGGCGGCGCGTCAGGAACGGAGGCAGAGAAGAGGCGGCCGCGCCCTGGGCAGACCGAGAATACACTTTATTCCATAGTCACGACAACCAGTATCACCACGAGAGATCATTTTTTTTTATTTACCGCCCCCCTCCGGCCCCGCGCCCGCCTCCCCCCCCCAAGCCGGCTTCTCCAAGACAACGATACAGGAACCTCTGCACTAACACGACGGTACAACATCCAACCCAGAGCGCTTGTAGCACCGTGGGCAGGCGGGAGCGGGCCCGCGGGCCGGCGCCGCCTGCCGAGAACTGTGAAGCGTTGGGAGAGGTTTGGGAGAACGGGATGGGGACGGCGTCCCCTGAGCCCTGCTGGCCACGATCCGTGGGGTTTGTTCCTGAGAGAGGTTTTTATTATTATTATTATTATTATTATTATTAATATTATTA